TAGCCAGCGAAGTCTACTTATCTGAATTCGGTGTGCCAGCAGGTTTATACCTGATAGACTCCCAAACACACGACGACTTACCTCCACGTTACTAACCCGTTCGCTCCATCCCACGTCAGCTAAACTACGTAAACATCGATAATCGAAAATTTCTAGTACTCGCAAATTCAGCGTCTCACAGCCATGAAGCAGAACTGAACGAGCGCCAGTGCAATATACACGACCTTTCAATTTCAGTGAAATGTCGCGTCTACGCCAAAGGTGTTACAGTCCTGCGTATGCTGCTCGAGCCTGAGAAATGTGGGCGGTTATCTCCGTTGCTGCACTACAGTCGTTGGTCACGCAACTCCCTAAGTACTAAAAGTAATCCACTATAATCAATTCCTGGCCATTTAGTTTCAGAGTGGGAGAGTAGACGAAACCCAGTCCTGTAGCATCACTTTGCACTTTGAACGTGTAAAGTACATACCGAATGTGACAACTGCACTTGTAAGTCCATCAAGTGCGCTTCCCGTGTCCTCCAAACACTCGAATAGACAAACGATGCCATTGGCGTACACTTAATCGCACAGTTTTTCTACAGTTGCCCGTCACATAAATGGTGAAAAGAAGGAGTGAGGGGCACTGAAGAAAAACATTCGACAAACCACAGTTAAGGTAAATTATGCGAAGTTTCGGTAGCTCTCCACTTCCAAACGTGAAAAAGTAAACCAATCCGTGTTTCTAACGATAAACAGATTCATCTCCCACCCAGTCAAAGTACCATCTAGCACCTAAGCACATTAGAAACACTAGCTACCTGAATATGATGCATCGAAATGTGGAGTTCTGCGAACCCATATTGAACGCACGGGACGCCACCAGGAACATGAACTCCCATTGAGTTTGAATGATGCACAAATGAGCAACATTAGTGATGACATAACAACCAATTATATCCGACAAAAGCATAAAGTATCATAAACAATGGATTTCCCATTTGTATTCCCAGTTTCATGCATTTGGACTAACTCAATAAAACATCACAAGAACAAATCGTATCAATTAGTAAATGCCATACGAAGATCAACTAGTCGTTGCTCTATAAAGTGCTTGTATTCGCATTTAAGCTCTAGCAAGTTATACACAAGGTTTCAATTCAAAAGAATCCACTGTTGCAGGACTGAAAGACTGACAAAAGGGGGTAAATTAACTGCTCAATGACTTCAGGAGTTCGGAAGAAAATCATCATTTAATCCTAGTGACATACTATTGTACAGTGCAAAGTTCGAACTTCGTTTGTTATATTGAATTGGCAGGATAACGATTAATATTCAGACCAAAACGCAGTAGTTCGTGCATTTTACAGAAGTAAAACATGGACAAATAATTGTATTACGATGTCAATAACTAACCTTATTCAGTTCCATTTCGGCTCTTTCAATCCGTGCTTTAATTGTGTCTAAGTGATTGAACACTGCGTAGTTGGCCATAGCCCAAGACTGCCAAGCAGCCCGATTATCCGGGGCATGGATTGTAGCAGCTCGGTAGCACTGGATCACAAACGCTTGTCCATCCTCCCACGCCTGAGTGACATTTACTCCCGTGCAGTCGTTAAGATTTGAGCCGGAAGAATCTGAAGGGGCACGTCGAGTCTGCTGATTGCCAGACGATGACACCCGGGATGTGTTGCTCCGGAGGAATTGGTAACCAGTAGATATGCCGGAATCAGAGCCATTCATTGTAGCCCCTATTGATCGAGAGGTACGTCGAGGACAGGAAGCCGAAGTGTTTGGATAGAACGCATCGGATCCACAACTACCAGCAGCACCACACCCAGGTGGTGAACGCGTGTACAGCTCCGAGTACCAAGATCCTAGACGCAAGCAACATCTTAATCGGGGAAACAGAAAGGGAAACGTAGGAGACTGAAGGGTTAGCGACGCAAGAGAGAAGTAATAAGTTCGGCATTCCATCTGGTTTATACTGTTCCCACAATAACCGAGTTTTTTTAATAAGCCGGTTGGTTGTTCCTGGTTCGTTTCAGTCGTAAGGAAACAATAACAGACATAGGACACTAAATGCTATCATTTAATTCTGGATTTTAGTTCCGGTTAATGCTAGTATTAATCTTGTCAATCCAAGCTTTATCTTGGTTGTTATCTTACCATTACTCAAATAGTTCGCCGGTGTATATATTTATTATAACTGTTAACTATGAGTGATGAAGAGGTAACAGAGCCTTGCTACGTTGTAACGATAAAAACTAAAAGCATTTGAAGCTACTAACTTGGCCATAAGGATTCGAAGGTCTTGCAACTTGAGGGCGGTTTGGGTACTGGCTGAACGGGGGTCCCATGCATCTAGAATATCGTTCGAACCGACCGCTGCAGCAGGAGACCAAAGTTGAACACCGGGAACCGATTGCCGCGACACATTCAGACCAGAAGAATCGACTCGAAGCATCGGTTCGAGTACACTAGTCTTCAGTACACAGAGACGCGTCACTGCTTCTTCATAAGCACCTGTTGCCCAGAGCAGTTTTGTATAAGCAAATACCACCGCAGGGTCGCAGTTCGGGATCGGCTCGTTTGGAGAAATCGTGGCCGGGTCTTGGCCTAATAGGTTCTCCAAAAGTTGTCGAGCCAGGATCTATGGAAAACGGGGAATAGGAAGAGAAGCACATCAAAGACCATCAGTCACATTCGCGCCACAGCAATCGCTTTCTAGAAAGAAAGATGTAAAAAGTGTATTTTTCATAAGGGGTCGGATTGAAAAGAGACAATTTTATCAACACGGCGAACAGCGCGTATGCGGGAAGGCGAAGTGACTGCGGTAAAAACCAAATAGACCACTCACAAATCGCCCATTTCGACGGCAGAGACCGACAAAACGCAGCCATGTCTTTAAATCTTCGTGGGGCTTCATGACCAAACTTCTCAGCTGTATGATTTGACCCCAATCCTCAACCACGGCTTGACAGCCACGCAGACGAGAACGCCACACCTCCCGTAACACAGGACGACGTTCCGGGACCAGTTTGTATTGGATTACTTCTTCTGCCTCAGAGAGTAACTGGGTGCCGACTAAATCCTATGAGAATTACCGAAAAAACAATACGTATGAGTGAACATGGTAATGTGTAAAAAACAAAAGCATCTACGGTGAACAAAAGGCAACAAAATACAACAATGAACATCGTGAAAAACTTGAACACATTTAAGGAAAAGCAGCGGAAAATTTCTTGTCCTTAATTTACCAAAAGGCTCATAGACCAATTGCTGACCTCAAAGGTAAAGGCACAGGTTCACAAGTTATCGAAGTTCAAAATTCTGCCTTTTGTATTTAAGCTTGAGATTCGCTCATGACAGTATAACTATGCAGAATGGGATTGATTTACACAACAGCTAAGCCAGGATAGGCTTTTCCGCATGTTAGCACCAGCACGTCCTTTTACTCCAGACAGCTTTTCGGAAAGCTCGTATCCCAAGCGCGACTTGGGTTTCATCCAGCAGATTTTGTCAGCGGATCCATTCTGTGAGGGACGACTTGTTTTAAATTACACGACTATTTCTTCATTTTATTTTGGTAGTCAATAAAACGAAGATAGATAAAAGCGTCGGCTGCAGAGTCCTACAATATGTGGACTTTGAGGACCTCGGAGGTACAAGGACCAAAAGGAGTACTGGACTTGATCACAGTTATACGACAACCGCATGATGAGAGTGCGAGAAGTTTTATAACTACACCGGCCACAAGACAACCAAACTGATAGCGTGACTAAATTATGTACATCGAAATATAACGTGTTTTTTTCAGTGTGAGATTCATGTAATGTCTGCGGTTGCGAAAACCTAGGCAAGATAATAAACACATGATGGGAAGGTGAAAAACGGACCACCGTATCGCACGAAGTTTGAACTTACCGCATACGCTCGATCATAGCTCTCTCCAGCCATTGTGGTTAGATCTGCATCCAATACGTTACGAGCATTCACAATATGCTCGCAGGCCTCTGTATAATTACCAGAATGAATGTTCAAGACTGCCCGATAGAATGCACCATCAAAACTGTCATCAGCCGGCAAGGCAGACACGTAACGTTCAACTTGATCCCACGAGTTGGTGGCCCACGCTGCACTACAGGCCAGGGGCGCCATTTTGGCTCGCATGTTATCATCGACTTGCTCCCAGCGCTCCCATGCCATGGTATTTAGTGGTGCCCTATTACATGGAAAAATATATGTGGGACAACTCGTCTCACGGACAACTGAGGTTCGGGGGTGAAACAACCGTCTAGACAATCCAAATTTACTCGTCATTTGCAATCTTCAAGCTACGAGCTAGCGAAAATCCACAATATGGAACAAGCGGTAATCACAATCGTATATAGATATACAGCTCGAATGCGGTCGAATCGATCGCATGCTGTTCTCATGGCAAATCTAAGTTAGAACTGTGATAAGCAATCTGTAAACTAATTCAACCTGAAATTTTCCTGTGACAGCCACAATAACTAACAAACGTCATGGCTTTCGTACTGCGGCATTGGGATACCCGATTTAACCAGGTTTTGGGTATTTCGGTGAGCCGAACACACGGTCTCGTACTCTCAGAAATAATTTACTATGAACGCGGTGAACAACTTTTGTGGGCACTATCCTGCTCACAGTCGTGATGGAACAGGCAATCTGGGCATGACGCCAAAAGGATGTACCGCGTGACAAGCAACCTGAACGTGCAAAGAGTAGGGATTAGGACAAAACAATGACCTTCAATACGTTAAAACAAACTCCCCCTCCCTGCGCAGTATTACTACGGACACTACATAGTGCAAAAACTGGAATCTGTCCGTTCAGATTTCGATAGAGATAAAACAATATCGCTAACAACACTGACAATCTACAAAACCACTCTATTTGCATATGTTAAATAACTCACCAGGCGATTGAATATGTTACCGTACCCTCTTAACACAATCCAGTTTAGAACTCGCTGGTCAGGCACTATTCCGTGAAAATCCCTTTCTTCCTACAATCGACATGTAAATTTACCCGACACCCTGGCAAGCGCCAGCTGCAAGCTCCAGAGTATGTGCGCTGTGCAGGATCTAACTTTGGCGACATGATACATTCGCCCACTTTTACCAATAGGTCTAAAACTATAAAAATTTATGAATGACACTAAGGTGTTTTTTCGTACAGTTAGAAAGCAGTACTTCAAGTCAATTGTTACCCTTATTGTTCAGTTTAGCACACGGCCTCGATGGTGCTTCCAGACCTACCAAGTTTCACGCTTCAGACCTTCCTAGTTCACAGTGACTGAATATCTTTTACTCATATTCACGGGACCGGATCTCGAATGCAATTGTAATATTTTCCATACCTCATGGTTGAGGACCATTTAATGACGAAATAACATGCTTGGGCATCATTCTTCATAATAGGATTCATTTCCTCGCAATAAAATCCCAACAAAAAATGCCGCGTGCGATTAGCACAACTAAAACATCGTTACGGAAATTAAGTCGTTCTATGCGAAAATTGGTTGAACCCACATTCTTCTTCGTCATCGTGGCGTCAGCACTAGAGTATGGCAGTAGTTCTCTACACTCGATGGAGTTCACCCAACTGAATTCGGTTGAAAGACAATTCATACAGTTCTTGTCATCTTTTTGCAACAGGACGTTTTTCTTAGCCTTAATTGTATTATACATAGCACACTGGGTTTATCAGTCAGACTGAACGAGTTTAAATGCAAAAAAATACGGTTGCTAAAAATAGACCCGAAAGGTCAACACCACAGTGGGTGGATAGATTACATCAACAACCGTTGAACGCTTGGAGTCGGATAAGCAACGCTTCACTAATTGCCAGAAGCTTAGCTCCGCAGTTACGTAACCCCAGTGTGAAAGGTGAAGCAGGGCTCATGTGTTTGCCATTATATTTTGCACCATGACCGTGGTTTATTGTGGTAACCTGAAAGCTGGTTGTCGGTTGCGCGACTTTGCCAACCACTTTTGAAATTGCTCTAAATCTGCTGTGATAGAGGACGATCTATGTATGTCTCACCGTAACTGCAGGTCACCTAACAGAGTGTGAGATAAGCGGTTTACCTTAGGTTTCTGAAGAGCAAATAATTTAAAACGTAGCCACCTTTGAAAGTAAGTATTATGTAGATGGTTGTCATGGTGTTTTGGACTGGGATGCCTTCCCGGGATCATCTATTGTGCGTATATCTGATCTCATTTAGCTAATCATCGTTTAACAGTGATCCGCATTTGAATTCCTCTTGATTTTCTAGTGTATCTGGAGCACAATCGTTTTTGTTCTCGCCCGATGAGATTCTATTCTCACAACTTGTTGACGCAGCGGAACACTCTTAGGGAGTTTAACTGTTCTTTTTAGTTTTGGTGATTTCGGGACCCTAGGGACCAAAGCATGCCGATGACGGTGAATTACGCCGTTTGACTACAGGCTTAGTTTATCCTGTTAGTCTTTCCTATCCATCAGTAGAGAAACAGTTTGAAAACCACGAATTCTAGAGTAAAAAGTAGAACACGTACCACTGACCCAGTGCACGTAGACAACGCATACGGCCGAGAATCAATGCATTTTTGTCTTTGATGCGATCGTCGTCCAGTTTGCGCTCGTATAAATTCAGAGCATGTTTCCAATCGTGTAACTTCTCGCGCCAAACTTCCTCATTCACCTGACACAGGATGAGACAAGAAATTAAAGAGTGGTAAGTCATTTGGGCTCTCGACGAAGTCACGCTTAGGAATAAAACAAAAAGCGCTTTGTTGGTACACAAATAGATAAATAACCGAATGAAACCAATGTGAGAACCGGTGGCAACTGGCTTGATCAAACCGGTTCACGAGATACTGGTAATCCAAACAGTCATTAATAAAGACTGTTGTTAGATGAATGGCAAACTTGCGACCCTTTAGTGTGAAAACCGAACCACTGAATTTTCCCTGAAATACGCACAGTAAATGTGTCAGAGGAACAAGTAAACTAAGGAGACCCTTTCTTCATGCGGTGCTATTACATTTTATCTGATAAAATTGGAA